GAGGGAGGTGCCCAGCCTCACTGCCGTTTTTCTCCTTGATTAATAGAAGTGCTCAAGGATAAGAACAGGCCCATGGTGCCAGCCCGAGCCAAAGGCCCGCGGAGCCGGAAAAGAAGGCCTGGAGAGGCAGAGGCTACGGTCAACCCTGAACTGACGGCATCTAGTCTGGAGACATGCAAGGGTCTCCTGCGGTCCATACTGACCTACTGGGGGCCTGTGGTCCCTGGATCTGAACCTGCTCAGGAGCCTGCAGACCAGACCACCCTGGAAAGTGAAGCACCAGGTCCTGGGTATGCCATTGCCTCCCTGGTGGTCAGCTGGGTGCTGCGGTCAGTAGGCCAGTGCCCGCTCAGCAGGGCAGAAGCTATGGGACTCCTTGGCTGGCTCAAGAACCACATTTTGCCACATGCAGAGGTGGTAGCTGACCTTCTTGGGGACAGTGCTGTGAGGAGCAGCATGTTTAAGCTCTACAGCCGCCTCTGCAGTGCTGAGGAGCTGGTGGGTCCTGCACAGGATGTGGCCTACCTATTCACCACGGTCATGCTACAGTTGGTGGCAGCTCAGGGCCAGGTACAGAGCCCCTTCCACCAAGCAGTGGAAGCTCTGTGGACATCTTCTCTGGATGAGAAAGACAAAGCCCCACAAGGTAATACTGGCTCTTTGGTTGGAAGCTAAAGGAATGTGTGAGTGGGCTGGGCAGAAGCTTGTGTCCCTTAGAGTCAGTTAGGCCCTGCCAGAAACTTCCCAGTTTGGTGCTTTGACAAAGTATTTGAGTGGCCCCTCCCACAATTCTGGGGATTGCCAGTAGTTTGCCGTTTGGCCCTAGTGTAAATGGAGAGGAAGCCTTTGCCTTGGCTCCCAGGTGAGACACCAGTGATAGGTTTGTGGTAGAGAAAGGAGCAACCTCAGACTCTTCCATGCTGCATAGCACAGCATGTGTGACCTCCACCCAAATGGAGGATTGCATTGCATGTCACAGCAAAGCTTGTATGTGTGCATGCACACAAGTGTGGACATCTGCAGAAGTGCACAAATGCATGCGCGTGGTTTGTGCTTGCACTTAGCAGATGCCCACAATTTGGGACACAGGAGTGAGTGAAGAAGGAATTTCGCAGCTTAATGGTTGTGAGAAGACTTGGGAGGCAGGTGTGGCCTCCTCCATCTGGGAGGGTGCTCCCTTTCACTGAGGGATGTAGAGGGGAGCTGGGAGGGGAAGAGCCAGCAGACCACGCAAGTGAATTGACCCAATAGTGTGATGACTCTCTTCCTCTCACCTGGCTGCAGCCAGAAAAGTAAGTCTTTCTGCCCATTAGACCATCTCTCCCCACTCAGGCGGTTGAGGATATGATGTTAGATGATTCTGGGAAGTGCTTCTCAGAATCCAATGCTGGCTCCAGGTGTGGGTGCTCAAAAGCAGAAGAAACCTATGTTGTAGTAACTTCTTTTTTATATTATTTATATTTATAAAATATTCTCATGGGCTGGGATTGTGGCTCAGAGGTAGAGCGCTTGCCTACCATGTGTGAAACACTGGTTCGATCCTCAGCACCACATAAAAATAAAGATGTGTCCACTTATAACTGAAAATAAATATTTAAAAAAATTTCATATTCATCAGAAGGTTTAAAATAAAAATGATTAACACAAAAATTAAGCCATCACAAAAGCAATTTTTCGAATAGGTGCTCACCCGGTGTTGCTGCCCTGTGGCGGGTGGCTGGCTTTCCCTCCCAGTGGGCAGGTGTCCTCACAGCCTTGTCTGACTCTTCTCTGCCTCCACAGCATTCCTCGTGTCCCTGTATGTTAAGGATGTCTGGCTGGGCACCCGGCAGCCAGCCAACCTTCTGGCCCATGTTCGAATGGTCTGTGATGCTGCAGAGGACACGGCAGGTGGTGAAGAGGAGGCCATCATTGTGCTCTGCAAGGACACTGCTGCCTCTGTCTTAGAGGCATGAACACCAGCTTCTGAAGTTTGGCTGGGTCAAGTTTCAGGAAAGACATGAACCAGCAGGTTCAATACATTAACTCGGTTTTCTGAAAAATGTTGGAAGGACTTCACTTAACTGACCAATAAATAATAAGCTCAAGGGACCATGTGTACCAAATGGGCAGAGCCATGTGACTCAGGTGCATTAGGGCCACCAGGCTCATCAGGGCCAGGTGGGCAGGTCTTTCCTCGTCTCTGGGAGTGCCTCGTGTTTTGCTGGAAACTGCTCAAGTCGAGGGTGCTTGTGAGTGCAGAACAGATTTGTGGATATTGAATCAGCTAAGATATTGAAAAGTCTGTCATATTTTTTGATGACCATGAAAGTAGATATTTGAAGTTTTCTGTCTGTAAGAAGTCATGACAAAATTTTGTATACTCTGCGTAAGTTCCAGCAGTGTTTTTGATTATTTTATTATTAAATCCTCAAGAATGACAGAAATGACAGCCTATGTTTCTAAAGTTATATTTCAAAGAGATTTTTGAGTGTTATAATTTCTTGATATTAAATGTCTATTTTTGTAATGTTTTTGTGTTTTGCTTTGATTTTGATGATTTTATTCCAGAGACCTGCATTTTATAGGTCAGAATTTGACTTTGGAGGTTCACATGTTAGTGGGTATTGGAGATAATAAGAGTCAATGTGAAATCTCATTGATTTCACAGCCAAAATACTAGTCTGGTCCTTTCAGACTCTTCCACACATGCTGGGCCCCTGGGGGGCTGTTATGTTACTTGGGAAGCAGTTACCTAATTTGTCCGGTATAATATACATAGCACTGAGAACGGCTTGGTTTTGCCTTAAACATTCACACTTACCGATATTCTTTTTAGAATGTTTTGTAAGTTTTAAATGACTTAAGGTTTTTAACTGAAGTAAGAATAATGCCTACTATGTTTAGTCCTTTTACCACAAATAGAGTTCGTTGTCTACAAAGCAAAGGCCATTTATCTCTCCTGTTCACTCCCCCATCAAAAGAGGCCACAGCAGGATTCTTGGAGACCATTCTGAGGTTGAAATTCCACATTTGGATTCAGGTTGGCCTCTGCAAGCACTGTTCCAGCTAAGGCCCCATTTTCTGTGCCTTCTCTTCATGGTTCCCTCTGTACCTGTGTCTTACCCTTCTGTCACATGCTTACTGAGTTTTCTTCTGATTCATGAGGAGCAGGGTCTGGGGTATGTCCCTGCAGCCCAGGCATCTAGGGGAGGTGAGGAGGGGCCACTCACAGAGTGGACTTCCTTGGCCCCAGCACAGGCCTCGGGCTATCAGCTATCTCCTACGGTCTTAAGTTCCAACCTGGGTGGGATTTGACTTCCCAGCTTTGCTGGGGCAGGCTCAGGCTCAGCTTACCTGGTGACCCCTGCCCACCTCTGACATGAGCCCTGGGAAGGTGGGGTTGCCGGGCAGCCCTGGGGCTACTGAGCACACCTGTGCTTTCCCAAACACCCTCTGCCAACTAGGGACGTGGCTCCTTTCCCTGCACTTTCTTTGAGGAGCTATCTCCCAGATCTTTCCTTCTGTGGCTAATTCGTGATAGAACAAGTGAAATAGATGTGTTAGGTGATGACAGGGACTTTAGTGCTGAGTTTCAGCTCAGTAAGTTGGGGACACATTTTTAGCAAGTGTCCCCCTTTTCCTCATCTCCACAACTCACCAGGCTATTCTTCCCTTTCTGGATATATTGCCCAAGTCTAGGAAGGCCATACCTGGCCCTCACCCTGTGGAACCAATTTCTCGTCACTAGGGTGGAGGAGAGTCTCACTTTGTAGAGAATAGATTGTACAAGGTCTTTACCAAGACCTATAACTCAAAACACTGAACCATAAGTACAGCCAGTTCTCTGGATCTGCAGGTTCCTGGACCACGAATTCAGCTAAGAATTGCATCTGTACTGATCATGTACAGACTTCCTGTCATTCTCTGAACAGCCCCGTGGAAAAGCTGTTTCCTAGCATTTGCACTGTTAGGTATCACAAGTATGGGAGGATATAAGTAAGTTATATGCAAATACATTTTACAGAAGCAACCTGAGCCTCTGTAGATTTTGGCCTCCTTGAGGGGTTCTAGAACCAACCCCCAAGGATTTCAAAGGACAGCTGTATTTTAAATACTCCTGTGAAAGAAAAAATTATTTTAAAACTAAAACTCACCAACTCGTTACCTAAAAGTTCTGGGTGGCACAAGTGGGTTTTTAGGACCTTGTTGCATGATTCTGCCTCTTCTCCAGGCCAGTGATGCAGGGTACTAGAGGACTAGAAGCTCGGGGATCTCAGATCCATGGGCACAAGTGGCATCTGGAGTGGGACTCCACCTGCCAGCCTCAGCATGGCTGAGGCCCTCTGTGAACATGGAGTCTGCTTTGCTCCCCTTGGGCACAGGCACTGCCTCCCTGCAGGGGAGACCTCTTGGGCACTGTGTTGAAAAACTGAGGAGGAGAACATGACCTGGCCAGCTGGCTGGCAAAGGAGATGCCACCACATCTTAGTAGTGGAGGACACACGAGTACTCTGCAGGCCTCCCCAGTGTCCTAACAAAGGTGTAGATGGATCAAGTGCACGCAGGCAGTATTCACAGAGGGGCAGGCACAGTGGTAGGGGTCAGTAAGGACTTTTAATTCATGCATATTTTATTTTCCTACTCCTCTTAAAGCCAAAGTAAGAAGTGAGCAGATTAAGTATGGTAAATAAAATCAGCCATGTCTGTGATGACTTCTCTATGCCAGAGGAGCCATATGCAAGTCTTTGACAGATGCTCATGATGTGCCTCCTGATAGAGTCGTTGACCTGATCACTTTCTGCTACATGTAAACAAGCTTTGAAAAGGCAACATGTGTGTCCAGGTTGGTTCAGCATTACCAGTTCACTCAGCCATGATTGTGGTTAATTGAGAGGTTCTGTCTCCAGGCTCACTGTACTTGATCCTGATGTCAGGGGGACACCCATCCAGGTCCTGTTCCCAGAGGAGATCTGTGGGAACCACGGGGATGAGGCAGAGGGACTCTCATGCTGTAGCCACTACTCAGCCCCAGCTCTGCTTCCTGGTGTCTCTACTGCCCCGTGGGAGGCCCTCCTAAGGCAGGAGGGGAGGTTGAGGCTGTGGTTCCATGGGCACATTTGGTGATGCTGGGGGCCGGTCCTGTGGACAGAGCAAATGGGAGACATCAAAGGAGCTGGCCGAAAGCATTTCTCACCTGTGCTGCCTTCCTGTCACCCGTCATCGTGCCTGCCCAGGGCCATAGGGAAGGCCCATGGAGTAGGGGAGGGGTCACTGAATCCATTACAGATTTCTGAGAAGACAGGAAGTGCTTTGTCAGGAAGGAGGCCTCAGTCTCTCCCTCAAGGTTACTTCCTCTTGATATCATTTCCAGGGGCCTAGAGCAGATTCACCTTCCATTCAGCCACTGGTATGAATAAGCTCTGCTTAGATCCATACCCAAGCCAACTTGTATCTGAGATAAGAAGTCCATCCTCCCTGTATTCTGCCCAGAGGTGTAGGGGCAGTGGACGCGCTGCCTGGCATGTGCCCCAGCCACCACTTCCCACCTGGCTTGGGTATCTTCCACAAAATAGGATAGTAGGTGCCCTACAGGTATCATCAGGGTGAAGTGAGGCATGTGGGGGCCGCTGCCTAAGCTAGAGGTCAAGTTTCAATGTGCTATTATGTTCACTTAGATGAAGAACACAGGACAGGAGCCCATGGAGGTAGAGGCCCCTCATTTCAGAAACCTCAGCATAAGACAGCCTTTCATTTCTTCCTCTCTTCCTTTATTCCTTTCTTCTACATGGAAAGAGTGACTCCTCAGGGAGTACCTCTCATTCCTAAATCTTACTAAGGATCGTCTTTGCTGCCCTGGGTATTCCGTGTCTGTTACATGGTGCCGTGAGGGCTGAACAACATGAATTCGTCCCTGTAAAACTGTAGCCCAAAGACTGTGCTGTCCACTGGCACTGGGCTCTGTAGAGGCCCCGGTGTGCCCCCCAGACCAGGGGACTTTCCACCAGGAGGATTACAGGCAATCCTTGCAAAGTTTCCTAGGCATAGGGAGGGCCTGCTGCAAGACACCTCAGAGGAGCAGAAAAGAAAAGTGATTTCCTTAGTTTATCCCCAAGTGTCTCAGGGTAAAATATGCTTAAATGTAATATGAGTTCTAAATTTTGAAAGAAAAGAAGGGATTTCTTCACTGCTCAAAAGCTGGTCCCTTGGCTGGTGATGTAGTTCAATTGGTAGAGTGCTTGCTCCACATGCACAAGGTCTTGGGTTCAACCCCCAGCACCACACACACACACACACACACACACACACACACACACAAAACTAGTCCCTGCCTCCCAGCCAGAAATGACCTGGTGAGTGTAGACAGGGGGAATTAGCATCCGAGGGCAGGGTGGGAGGTAAAATGGGGGGCGGGAGAGAAACAGAGGCCCTTTTACAATGCATCAGTCCACAGGTTCCTCACAGGAGCTGACCAGGGAGCCCATCAGGTGTAGGGGTTGGTTCTTTTAGGGGCACCAAGACCCCTCCTCTCTTCCTATCTCAGGAGCAGCTCTGCCCGTCTCTGCTGGCTAGCTCCTGGAGTTTTGAGTGGTCTTGCTCCTCAAGGACTACCCATATGGCTGTCGTGGTCCACAGAGGTGCACAGCCCAGTCGTCCAACTGGACCACTCAGTGCCACAGCCATCGTACCTAGTCCATCTCTTGGGTTCCTGATTCCAAATTTGAAACTGGGCATCAGACAGGCCACACAGCCACCGGCCAGCTTCTAGACGGGCTTTCACTGGGTCCATTGCCCATCCTGATCCCATCAGCCTGCAGGCCAATTGACTAGCATGAGGCAAGATTCAGATGAGCTGGGTTCTAATTACTGCTTGAAGCTCCTAGATTTTGTCTCCAATGCAACCAACACTGAGGCACACATACAGGATTCAATAGGAGATAGTACTCACAGTGCCTCATCTAAGGCTGCATTTTCCTGTTAATCTGGTTGGCAACACTTAAGGGGCACATGGTATCATTTTGTTACCTTTTTAAACTGAATTGAGATATATTTTACATGTGGTAAAGTTCACCCACTTAAATGTATAATTCAGGGTTGTGCATCTGTGGCCATAATCTAATTTTAGAACAGTTTTATCATCCCCCACAAAGGAACCCATAAGCAATCCCTCGCTTCCCCTGCCTTCTCCAGCCCTAGACAACCACCAGTTTGCTTTCTATCTCTATGGATTTTGCCTATTCTGGATATTTCACATAAATGGAGTCACACAATACGTCATCTTTTGTGTCTGCCTTCTTTTACTTAGATGTCTTTAAGGCATAGTCAAGTTGCTTAACCATGGGGACACATTTGGAGAAGTGGGTCATTAGGCAGTTTTATTGTCATGCAATCCTCAGAGAGTACTCAACACACACTAGACTGTCTACCAGATAACCAGGAGATATACTCTCATGGATCCACCACCTTTCTTTGTTGAAGAACACCTTGTTATGTGGTGCACAACTGTCCGTCATGTTGTGGTTGGACTCGGCCCTCTGTTCCTCTTCTGCTGCATCAATATTCTATGCCATTGCTCTTTAGCGTCTGAGTTCCCAGAATGCCCTCCCCCTCCCACTTACCTCATCTGTGAGGACCCCGACCAGGACATGTAGAGCAGAATGAGGAAGAGGAGCACCACAAACGCAGCCAGGCTCACCCAAAAGGCGATGACAATAGCATCTGCAAGAGGAACAGGATGTTCTTGAGGTCAGTTTGCCATCAACCATAACCAACAGTGAGGGGAAACAGGGAGTCCAGGTACCGCACTATGGCCCTGAGTGGAACTGTTCTCTAGTCTCACCTCTCAGCCACTGGCCTACGGAAGGTTTTCCAGGAAAGACCTTGGGAAAGAACAGTAAAGCAGGGAAGTAGGCATTTTTTTTTTTCCAGGGCAACTAGCCACTGGGTAATTAGCTGATTGTTGAAGGAAAGTAGTTAATACAATCCTGCGACACCCTGTAGATCTGCTTCTTAGATATTGCTACTCAGAGGAGCGGTCCTCAAGGATTGGTTTTTCTTCCTTCTCTCCCTGGGAAGGGAGAAGAAAGGGCTGTGGGCAGCTCCATGGCCTTGGTGACCAGCCTCATGGGGAGTGGTGTCAGAGGCCCCATGAGGCAGAGACCTAGAGGATGATGTGCCCTGGGCTGTGGTGTCCATGGAGGGCCAAGGCCTCGGTGCTCTGAGGTGGTCAGCTGAGGCCTTCCCTGGGCAACCTGCCCAGGTCAGGGACTAGGGAAGTAGTCTCCTTTTTCAGGTGGAAAAGCTCACCTCTGGGCAGTGTAGGGAGAAGAAACCCTTTTGCAGTCACTATGCTCCAGCAAAGGGAAACCCAGAAACAGGCCTAGCTCTTCTAGACCCGGCAGGACCTGGCGGGGCAGGTGGTGCCTTTCTCTGGAGCTCCAGGTCAAGAAGATGGTGTAAGTTGCTGGGGAACCGTTTGCTACCAGTAGGGTAGGTTTTTTCTTTTTTCCTGGATGATTATTTAATGGGTGAACAAATGAATGGGAGAAAGAACAAGCAACCGAAGGAATGAATGGAGTGTTAGAGATTTGTGAGCCAAACAGACATGGAGGTGGAGCTCTAGGTGTGACTGATGGAATCACCATTCCTTGAAATGCATGGAGGACTGGTTTCAGACCCCCTATAGATACTGAAATCCTTGGATGCCCAAGTCCTTTATCTGAAGTAGCACAGTATTTGTATATCATCAACCCACGTCATGCTATCTATCCACTTTGAATCATCTCCAGATTACTTACAATACCCAGTACAATTTTAATCCTATAATAGCATTTAGTAATTATATAATAAATATATATTACCATATAATAAATTTATATCAAATTATATAGTAAATAATTATATTGTTCAGGTAATAAGCACAAGAGGAAAGTCTGCACATTTTTAATAGAGACGGGATTTTTTTCAAGCATTTTCAGTCTTGATTGGTTGAATCTATGCATGTAGGGGGGTGGTACCTGAGTACAGGGGGTCATCTCTGCCCTCCACAACTCAGAAGGTAGAGGGAGAAACGGAGGACTTGTAATTGTGAGTGATCCTGGACCCTAACCATTAATGTTGAAAATGGTCTAATGGGTGCGTACCTGTAATTCCAGCAGCTCAGGAGGCTGAGACAGGAGAATCGCGAGTTCAAAGCCAGCCGCAGCAACTCTGCAAGGCCCCAAGAAACTCAGCGAGACTCTGTCTCTAAATAAAATACAAAACAGGGCTGGCTCCGTGGTTGAGCGCCCCTGGGTTCAATCCCTGTTACCAAAAGAACAACAACAACAAAAAAAAGGTCTCATGAAAAGCTGCCGCACTTGCAATAGGAATCAGGAGCCTACTGGCTGGTGACACATCAGCCACTCGGGGTCTACACTCCAGGAAAGGACGGATGCCAAACACCAGGCTGGCTCTCACGTCTTTCCTATCTCTCCTTGAGCTGAGAAGCCCATGGTGGCACCCAAGAACATTAAGCTGCTTGGGGGACCCCTGGACTCCTGGAAAGTAGAAATGACACCACGTGTCCAGAGCTCGAGGACTTGCCAGCTCACTGGGCATTAATTCTCCATTCCCAGAGAGCTGCCACTTACTTCATAGCTTTCCAAGTACAAAAGTGCATGTTTTTTCCTGAAAATTTGGCTTGAGATTGTATTCAGTAAGGATATTTTAGATTTCTGCGGACACTAATGCTTTTTTCTCCTCCATCAAAACAGTGCAGGATTGGAGGTCGTTCACCCCCAGGTGAGTTCTCTTAGGAAACAGATTTCAACAGCCGAGCGCTCCCTTCTCTCAGGCTCACCCTCATCTGCCTCAGTTCTTGTCACTATCCCCAGATACTGAGGGGAAATGAGGCTCCACCTTTCAAAGCACAGTGTGTTCAGATGAGTGAGATTTAAATTTTTGCCACACCGAAAGATGATCAGTAGCCACTCCTTATTTTCTGTACTAAATTTGTTTTCATCGTGTTCTTTTGAAAAAAAGGCAACCAAAAAAAATGCAAGCCCTTTTCTCCAAGTGCTGGGAGAGAACATTTTGTTCCAAGAGCAAAAACTGTCATTTCCCAGTTTGGGGAGGTTCTAACATCCACGGGTTGTTTTCTCAAGGAGTCCCAGGCTGGCTTGATGGTGAAACTGGCCCATTTATGGAAAACTTCCTCCCTCTCCTCCCCTCCTGTCCTCGTCACCTCCCTGTCCCCTCTTGTTCGTCCCTCTCCTCCCTCTCCGTTTCTCCTTCTCTCTCCCCTCCCCATCCTCTTCTCCTTTCCTCCCTCCCCTCTCCCCCCTTTTCTTTTCCCTCCTTGGTCTCCTGATAAACAGTGGTGGAATGAGAAGCATTAGACATCAACAGTGGAGTGACAAGAAAAGGCTCTGGGTGACATGGCCTGGCTTCCATTTGCTTCGCCTTGAGGGATTTCTCCTCCGAACTTGGTCCTAACAAATGACCCCCATTAAGTTTCCTACTCGGTGGGCACTTCAGTTTTGTTGCGTGAAAACCACTCAATCTCAGCTTTAGCTACTGACATTTGGGTCCTGGAGGCCTAGGAGATCCACTTCAAGATCTTCCTCTTACTGGGGGAGTGACGGTGTGACAAAAGCCCAACTTTGGAGGTGTGGAACTTTGAGTTCCAATTCTGAGGGCCATTCCTTAGCTGTGTCGCCTCAGGCAATCCGAGATTTTCCCATCTCTGAATCTGTTCACTTGTAAGGTGGGATGACAGTACCTATTAGATTAGGTGTTGGGAGGATTAAACAGAGTGATGTGTATGTGTAATGCACGTGGCGCAGTTTCTTGTTCAATGATGTGAAATGATTTATAAATAGAACTAAAATTATTGTTTCTGTTCAGAGGGTTTTGCCGCAAGTGATAGTACTGCTTCCTTCAAGCTCACTAAAGTGTAAGGTATGAGCCAAAGTAATTATGGCCCAGACTGATGGCTGTTGGTCCGGCTGACTGCTTCTGTGTGCCGCCATTGTGATGGACCCTTGCTTTCCAGTGGGCACATGGCTGCCTGGGGCGAGACTACATCTCACAGCCTCCTTTTCAACCAGACAGGACCATTGATAAGGTTATGGCCAAGGAGACGTGAGAGGAACCCTTCCTCCAGAGACTGCTAGACTTCTGGTCCCTTGTGTCCTTTCTTATTCCTCCGTGCCATTTTGCTACTTATCGTGGATGTGAGTAGGAGCTTGGCTTGGGACCTGAGGGATGTGCCTTGGGTGGCAGCGTAATGAGCTGGGGAGAAGCTGGTTCCCCAGGATTTCATGGAGCTCATTCACCAACCCAGTCTGGCAGACTTTTACATAAGAGAGAAATCAACTTCTGTTTCATCAGCTACTCTGCCAGCCATCATCAACGTCCTTTTCCAAGTCAGTGAAAAAATGGAGTTGGTAACGCCAGGACCAAAAACCCAAGTGAAGGCTGACCTTCAAAATAGGCACCCTCCCTCTGTCACAGAGAGAGAAATTTCCTAAAATTCATTTATTGATCAAGAATTTACAGGACTCCTCTGTTAAGATTACTTTCAAGGGCTAGTTTGTAGATCACTGCGCACACACACCCACACCCACACACACACAAACACACAATTTGCTACATTATGAGATCTTATTGCATTTTGACTCCTAGAAACATCAATCAGTTTAATCACCCATTTCATTTATCTGATTTACTTTTGAGTATATCTAAAGTATTTCCAGGAAGCAATCGATTCTCAAAAGATATAAAAAATTTACCACCATAGTTATTTCATGGAATGTGCTGTAAGTGTCATTAAAAAGGGTTAAAAGAAAGTTTTGAGCAATAACAGAATCATTCAGCAGCTGTACCTCCTCCTAGAGGGCACTTCGACACAAATTTATTCAGAGGTAAACATTCTGGTATCTCTTTAAGCCAGTATATCCTGCTGCCCTATGTAGGACACCTATAAAAATCATAAATTGATCAATAAATATACTTCTTATGGTGCCTTTGAAATAAATATTATGATTTTAGAGTTTTCTATTCTTTTGAGGAAAGTAATTGGTGAGTGATTACAGTGTTTGAAAGTATATATATTTTCTTCTATGTTAAAAATATGTAAAGGGCCGGGTGTGGTGGTGCATGCCTGTAATCCCAGAGACTCGGGAGGCTGAGGCAGGAGGATCACGAGTTCAAAGCCAGCCTTAGCAACGATAAGGTGCTAAGCACCTCAGTGAGACCCTATCTCTAAATAAAACACAAAATTGGGCTGGGGGTGTGGCTCTGTGGCCGAGTACCACCAAGTTCAATCTCTGGTGCCCCCCCAAAAAACACACACACACACAGGCGTGCATGCACACACACGCGCGCACACACACACACACACACATATGTAAAGGATATATAAGCTTTAGATTGATTTCCAACCATTTCCATTTTAATGAACTTGCGTTAGTTTCCACTGAAATATTTGCAGAACTAAAAACTTGGGTCTCTCTCTCTCTCTCTCTCTCTTTTTTTTTTTTTCCAATTTTTCCACGGGTAGAGAGTACCAGGGATTGAACTCAGGGGCACTCAACCACTGAGCCACATCCCCAGCCCTATTTTGAATTTTATTTGGAGACAGGGTCTCACTGAGTTGCATAGTGCCTTGCCATTGCTGAGGCTGGCGTTGAACTCAGGATCCTCTCCTCCGAGCCTCTGGGATTACAGGTGGGAGC